ACAGAGAGGCCAGAGACAAGGAAGGATGAAGAAGAGCCCTGTCTGGTTCACAGTATCTTTTTCCAGATTCAGAAGCTGAACTGTGTGTATGTGTCTGCACGTGGGCACCTTCCCCCCACTTGTGTGTGTCCCATAAAAGTACAGTTTCAGTCTATCTGGGTAGAGTGGACAGAATATAACCTACTCAGTTGCTACTGAATATCTGCAAGATGCCACGTTCAACCGTAATACCCTAGGAATGGCCAACAAGGCCAGTCAGAAAGCTAACATGCAGACACACACCAAAGCCTTGCAGCGCTTCCCACTTCCATGTGATAAAGACTCAATGGGACTTTTCCACACTGGGAAATCAGGAAGGCACTCAGCAGAGACCTTGGTATCAAAGAGCCAGTCTGCAAAGACTAGGGGCAGGCCCCTCCGGAAGGAGAGGAGAATAGGTACAAAATCCCATGCCAAGTCAATATAGCAGTTCATGGTTTAGACAGAGGGTGGGGGGAAGCTTGCTGGGTAAGGTGAGGGCCAGCAATAGAGGTTAGTTAGATCGCGAAGGACTTGGTTAGACTGGAGGGAAACAAACTGGGGTTTTACTTTTAAAAAGCTATTTATTATTATTTTATCTGTGAAGTGTTTTGTCTGCATGTATGTCTGTGTGCCTGGTTCCCACGGAGGTGTGAAAAGGACATCTGATCTCCTGGAACTATAATTGCTGATGGTCCCGAGCCACCATGTGGGTGCCAGGAATTAAACCCAGGTCGTCTGGGAGGGCAGCCAGTGCTCTTAACTGCTGAACCATCTCTCCAGCCCGCAGTCCTGGGGTTTCACTCTAGGTATAATGAGAACTGAACAGGAGCTGACAGGTTGGGAAGCAGCCTCCGGTCTGCAGGGCTAGGGCCCAGGGTGGGGTTAGTGGGCTGTAAGCAGCAGGCAGCACACTCAAAAGCCTTCGCTGCGGTTCTGGTAAAAGGTGCTGTCGGCGTGGGCAAAGGTGGTGGATGGATGTGGCCTGTACTGTGGGGGTAGAGGTGACAGGCATGGGGGCGGGGAAAGAAGGCTGGAGCAAAGTGTCATCTCCTGCCTGAGCGTCAGGATGAATTATGGTGGCATTTACTGGGAGGAAGAAGCAGAAGCTGATCTCTGATGAGCAATCCATCAGGTGTGATATGTCTCAGGGTGGGTATGCATCTGTGTTCATCTATGCCAAAACCTAGGTGTGCATGTGGGAGCCAGGATCCCTGAGCAAACCTATGACATCTGGGTCACTTTTGCTTGGATATGTGGGCCCCCCCGCCCCAGGTCTGTCCTGGGACCAGACTCTATCTTGGTCCTTAATGCTCTCCCAGCCCCAAGGGTTGCCCCTGCCATGTGGGGAGTCCCAGTGGCAAGCTGGGGTAATAGAGAGGCCCTCGAGCTTTGCCAACATCTGTGCACATTACCCCAGGCCCAGGAGGCTTTGGTAGCCCCACCCGGCAGCGGCAAGCAGGCTCCAGGGCAGCTGGTGGCGATTAGCAGCGTTGATTACCTCGTGGCGATGCCATCTGGGGCGAGGGCACTGAGCCCAGTCCCATGGGATACCCTACTTGCTGATGTGTGGGGCTTTCTGGGACTGAATGCATATAAATGTGTCGGCGTAGCTGCATACATACCTGAGTGTAAGTGTGGTAGTGTGTGCCTATCTCTGTGTGCCAAGATTCTGCAGGTATCTCTGCTTGCATAGTGAGCTCGTCTGAGTTTTTATGTGTATGTCTGTGTGCATACATGTGCACATGTCTACGTACATATACATGCCTGTGTGGGCACACTCAAATCTATACGGGTTTCTTTTGTTTTGTTTTTAAGTACTGGGGAGCGAGTCTAGTCTTGTGTATGAAACTGTTCTAATACTGGCCCAGCATTCCCAGTCCTTTAAAAAACTTTGCTTTGAGACCAGGTCTGGCCTTAGACTTTACAGGTGTACACTACCCCACTAGATGTCATATATATCCGGAGAAGATGTACCTGTCTGCATCTGGATCGATCCAGGAATCTAGTTCCGTGTGGGGGTCACATCCGTCCCACAAGGAGGTGTGCTGGGTGTATGCTCCTGTCTGTAGGAACATGAGTGCCTGCCGATGCATGCGGAGTTAGTTAGTACACACAGGGATTGTGTGTCTCTGCGTCAGAGTGAAGCAGGGACTTGAGTACATCTCTCGACTGTGATGATGGACCCGGGCAGAGGGTGTTCCCTAGGTTTGGTGGGGAAGGTCTCTGGGCATCACCTTCTCAGGTTCCTTTATCTTCAACTCTGAGAGCTCTGGCCTGGGGGCACGAGTGAGTGAAGAGTGGATGTGACCAGAATGGCACAGGGTGTGATTGTTTCTGCTGTTTAGGCTTGCCGGCCATGGTCTCCACTCTGCCACCAACGGGTTATGGGATGCTAGGCAACATGTGTTGCTGCTGTACTCTGGGTTTCCCTGCAGCAAGATGAGGTTAGGTGTAGAATACTGCCCCCTCCGTGGCTGTATAGACTGCAAGAGTTAGCTTAGGTGGAGTTTTTGTGATGGAACCTGACCTGCCTGTGTTCCTTCCTTTTCCTGCCTGCCCCAGAGCTGGGCAGAACTCCATTAGCAACCCTACTATGCCTGCCCACCCCTCCTGACAGAGCTTCTGAAAGCCCCACCTCCTGCACTTCCTGCCTGCTGAGCTCAGCGCTTCCCAGGCCCACCACTGCCACCACACATCTGGGCCCAGGCTCCGTGCGGGGACCACAGTGGGGCGCCTCTGTGGCGTGGAGTAACAGCGTAGTAGTTAGGGTTTCCACTGACTCAGCACCGCCAAGGGTGGAAGTGGGGAATCCCAAGGCTGTCATGGCTCTGCCTGGGTTAGATGGGGTCACAGGTCTACAGCTGTACCACCTACCCGAAAGGGAAGCCCATCCTTATAGATTAGGGATCCTTCATTGTCTCCTTTCTAACACTAGCATCCACTCTACTGCTCACAGACCTCTTCAAACAATTTTTCCACGGTCCCCTGACTTAGTGCTAAGAAATTTGTTTGCTACCTCTGTGGAGAGACCGATCAGCCTCTTCCTCTTCTGAAGAGTCTATTGTTCACCCAACCTCAATTGTTTTTGCTTCTTTAGACACTGGCTAGAAAGCAAACCTCCCCATCACTTAATGCCCACCCCACCCCCTGCTCACCCTGTCCTCAGCTAAGGATCCCAATAATGAAAATAGCAACAAGTATCTCTCCTCTTATGTGCCAGACCACTGGCTAAGCATTCTTGCAGATGTTAATGAGTTTCCTTTAACAAAGCCACACCAGGCAGATGCTGTCTCTTCTCACAGATGTGCAAATGGAATTAGAGATAAAAAGTAGATTTGAACCAGGCCTGCTGTGCCCAACTACTCAGGATGCTGAGACAGGAGGGATGAAAGTTATGGACCTGGTTGGGTGTGTGGAGCACACCTTTAGTCCCAGCACTCTGTAAGCCGAGGCAAGGGAGATCTCTGTGAGTTCAAGGCCAGCCTGGTCTACAAAGAGAGTTCTAGGACAGCCAGAGAGAACCTATCTAAAAGAAAGGGAGAAAAGAAGGGAGAAAGGATGGAAGGAAGGGAAGGAGAGAGGGAGGGAGGAAGGAAGGACAGATGGACGGACGGATGGACTAGGTCTGCTTCTGCTGCAGAGCAGTTCAAGGCCAGCCTGAGCAACTTCACAAGCCCTTGTCTTAAAAAGCAAGGCTGGCGGGGAAGGGAGGTGGCTCAGTTGGTAAAGTTCTTGTTTTACATGTCTGAGAACCTGAATTTGAATTCCAGCTGTAACATCGGGGTTCACTTGAAATTCCATTTTTGGGGAGGTGGAGACAGGAGGATCCCGACCGTTCCTTGGCTAACTAATATAGCTGAATCAATGAATTCCAGGTTCAGTGGGAAAGCCTGTCTCAAAAAATAAGAGAGAGAGAGAGAGTCCTTGAGGAAGACATCTATGGTCTCCACACACATGTGCATACATGTGTGCACACCTGCACACATTATACATGTGTGTACACCTACACACATTTATATAGAACACACATGTACACATCAAAGGCTGGAGGTGTAGTTCAGTGGTAGCGCATTAGCTTAGGGTATGCAAACTCTAGGTTCTATCTCCAATTAAAAAAAAAAGTTCAAGGGCCATGGAGATAGCTCAGTCAGCAAAGGTATTTGTCACCAAGCCCAGCCTGGCGATCTTAGTCTGAGCCCCAGAATCCACACAGTGGAAGGAAATAACTGATTGTACAAGCTGTCCTCTGACTTCCACACATGCAACATGGCATTTACAACTATGCCCGTGTCCATGTTCCCCCACATACACACACAAAATTAATTAAGTTTTTACAAAGCTGTAGCAGGGAGCAGGGATCTGAGCCATTCCAACCTCGTTGAGTCCAAGAGGAAAAAAAAGGACTCACTGATTATACTTCTGTAGAAAGGAGGGTAGAGCAGAAGGAGTTAATTTAGCACAGGGTTGGGGAGGGGGCATGTTGCTCTGTCCCTCCTCTCAGTGCAGACAGAGGCACTACAACCTAGGAATGCTAGGCCCAGGCACTGGAAAAAGCTGACCACTGAGGCTTGGTCAGCAGCCACGTCGCGAGTTCCACGGCTATGGAGGAGGGTCCTCAGACCTCTCCAGTTTTCTGGGGTCCCAGCCAAAAAAAAGAAAGGGGGGGCACAAAGGAGGTTTCTTAAACCCCAGGCCTGGCTCTGGGAGCGCCTGGCGTGGTCTCCTTCCCTCCAACCCGCCGCAGGCGCCCCTTCTAGGGCAGCTCTGGGCACGCAGGGTGCCGCCTCGCCCTGCTGGCCCGCGGGCTCACCTGGCTGGTGAAGCGGGACGGGTGCGCCCGGGCGCAGGGCCAGGCCAGGAGCGCGGCAGTGCAGCCCAGCAGCTAGCGCCTCCGCGCCAAGCGCTCGCGGCTTCCCTCCTCCTCCAGCCTGGCGGGCTGGCTCAGCTGTGTTCCATTAGCCTCTTGGCAAGGTCCCAGCGCCCCTAGAACCGCCCTCTTTCCTCTCCAGGAGCGGCCGGCAGTCCAGGCAGGCGTGCGCTGCGCGGCACTCAGCCGAAAGAACTCGGGACGCCGAGAAGCTGGGGACAGCGCAGACTGGCAGGGCAGGGAGAGATCGAGGATCCCCCTGTGGGCCGGTGGACCCCCGGGCCCTGCTTCCCACAGCTGGCGGCCTTGGGGCCGCCAGGATTGCTCAGTGAGGGGCTTCCGGGCTATTGGTAAGTGGGCCAGGACTGGGCTGCTTCTCGCTCTAGGCTGAAAGGGCATTTTCTGCTACTGACTCGCTATGTGACCTGGGACAAGTGGCATTCCCTCTCTGCTCTGCTCTGCCCCAGGGTGGCATGGAAACTCCATGCTGGTCCTGCTGTCGCCTCAAATCTGTGCCTGTGTTGAAGGGGGCGGGGTCTCCTTGGAAGCATCTCTCTAGCTGTCTCTACAGCCCTCCTCTCAGACTGAGGCCTGAGAATGGATGCCAGAAGTGAATATGATGAGCACATCTATGTTCACGCCTCCACATGCGCCCACATGCTGTTCAAAGCCGGCTAGCCTTTCATTGGCTGACGGGAAGGGAAGGCCAGGGTAGGATTTGAGAGTGGGAGATGCACACCCCTAGGATGGGAGAAGACTAGGGTGGAGGGACACAGTTCCATCCCAGGGAGAAGGGAGGAAGAGTCGAGCCTACATATATATTAGGGGAAGGGGTCCTTTCTGTTGTCATTCTGTATCCAGCCACAAGGCTGGTAAGTTAGGATTGCACTGGACGAAATTGGACTTGCCTAAGAAAAGCACCAACAGGAAGGCTCCAGGGAGGGGCGTTTATGGGCTGGCTCTGGACAGGAGTGTATATGTAAACTCTGGGCTTATCAGTTCTCCGGTCTGTTAGCATGCCTGCGTGCCGCTAAGTTTGACTGCATAGTCCTGGTACCTATGCGCCTGTGCGCCTGTGCGCCTATGTGTATTGCACTGACACACATGACTTTGTGTGCTCATGATCTGCCTGTCCCGGAAGACGCCAGATGATATATGACTCTGCTGGCCACTTGCTGAGCCTGCATTGATTTATCTGGGCCCATCCATCAGGGTTTAATAAAACCAAAAGACAAGCATCCATCAGCCTGGGAGGTTGGCAACAAGGTCCTGGGCCCTGGTGACCTGCTCTCCCGCCCTTTGTCCACACAAGGGGAAGTTTTCTTGGCCCGCACACAGCCCTGTGATCTCTGCCAAGAGACTCAGTCCAGTTTTCGGCCCCTGACCTCGTGGATGCCTGGCAAGGTTACCTGTGCTCGGTTGAACACAGCTCTCCAGGTACTGGGCTACTGTGTGCCAGCACAGTACAGCTGTCAGAGCTCTGGGATTCATCCAAACATTTTGATACATTGCCTCTGCTCAATCCCCCACCCCACCCTCCCAGCCTCTGTGGTCTTTTAAGGCCCTCTAGACCCCTTCTCAATCCTGACACAGCTACAAGCTGCCTGAGCCCCTATTTCTATGCTTCAGCCAGCCTTCTGCTCTGGCTGGTGGGTGTCTGGGCCATACCGGTGGCTAAATATTTGTATTATCACCTCTGCCCAGATTCTCACCTCAGGCCTGTGTGGGGTTCCTGAGAGCGACGGATGCCAAGCCCTGACCACTACAGTCCCTGGTTTATGGGCCTCAGAGATTGTTCCTACTTGTCCACACATACCATTGTCCTTTGGGTACCCTGAAGCCCACCTTTCTTGTTTTTGGTTGTCAGGTGCCAAGGCTACAGCTGATCTCTCTGGACCAGCATGTTGGCATCCTGGACTCCTGGCTTGTGGCTGCTCGGGCTCTGGGCCACCTTCAGCCATGGAGCAAATATAGGTGAGCTGACACAGACCTGCATCTGGCTCCTGGGTTTCTGGGGTCTTTGTACATATGTGACCATGTATATCTCAGTCATATGGGCATTTATGGGCAAGTGTAGGAGCTGAGCTCAGGTTAGCTTCTGAGATGTTTGCATACTTGAACCTGTGTGAGTTAGCGCTCTCTCTCTCTCTCTCTCTCTCTCTCTCTCTCTCTGTGTGTGTGTGTGTGTGTGTGTGTGTGTGTGTGTCTTGTGTCTGAGTATCTTAGGGTTTGCATCTTTAGAAGCTCAGTACATTTGTATGTTCTCTTGGGTCTCTGCAGGGGAGAACAGGTCCCCCTCCCCCCAGCACATCCTTGCACTTCTTACTGGCTGGCTGGATGAGAAGGAGCAGAGCAGGCACCACACTCTCCTTACAAAGGCAGCACTTCCAGAAAGCTGCCCAGCCCCTCTGTTCCTTCTCATGACAATGACCCCATCCTCCAGCCACAGGCTCCTCTTTTGTACCAGCCTGGATCTCTGATGACTGCCCACCCCATGGTCTAGGCTCTGAACAGGGAGAGGGTACAGTTTTCCAGGGACCAAAGCCAAGGGAAGTTGACCAGGCAATCTGCATGGCCTTGCTGGGTGCCCTCTGGGCCTGGTAGTTGCACCACCTAGTCAGGAAGGAGCCGAACTCCTAGGCCCAAGTCCAGGCATCCAGGGTGGGTGGGACTGCCTGTGTATGTATGTGTGTACAGGCACATGTGTGTTTCTGCATGTGTATTGGAGAGTTTTGCTCTCTTCTCCCTCACCGGGTCCCCTAGAGGGGCTGGGGCAGAGGATTTCAACATCTGTAAGGAATCTGGGCCCATTGCCAAGGGTGAGTCACCCAGTACTGCGGGATGCTGAAGACAGTGATGGTCTTTCCGGCCAGACTTGGGGGTGGAGATTGCAGTGGGTCACTGTGCCCGGGGATAGAGGGCTCTGTCTTTCAACTAGGTTGGACAGAGAGTTGGCTATCTTCTGGGAGGCGAGTTGACTGGCTTGGCCCCGCCCTTCTATCAGCTTTGCTGGGAAGGCCCGTTGATTTTAGCCCCTGCCTCTTTGATATAGCACCCTCCATCAACACTTCTGGTCTCAGGAGGGGAAGGAAGTGCAGTCCCGGGGAGAAGGAGGCTTATAGCTACCAGCCCGTCCCTTTGGGACTTCAGAGACTTGTGTCTTTGTTCAGAATCTCATACCTCTTTAATGTACCTTGACTGGCCTAAGTCCCTGATGGTACCCTTGAGCTTGTGGTCCCCTCAGCCTCTTGGTCTCTTTTTATTGTTGTTTTGCTAGCTGGGTACGCAGGTGAAAAGCCATTCTGGTAGCTCAGACTTGTGTCAGACTTTTTCTTCTGGGAATATGGGAAACAGAATGTCACCCATTGCCTGGAACATGTGTGCCAGTGCATGTGGCAGTCCTGGGGACATGGGTATGCATAGCTCATGCATGTATAGTCATGTGCACATGACACCAAGTGTGCATGAAAATAACATTTCTTCACCCCCGCTGTGTTCCTCTGCCTCCACCTAAGTGGCACACATGGAGGAACATGTACATAATATGTATATACATGTCCACTGTCTGGGCTCTGAACCACCCAGGGTTTCTTTCACCCCTTATTGGCCAAGCTCCAGCTGGGGGTATTGGAAGGCTGGGATCCCAGGGGTCTGGTCCTATTCGTCTGTTGACTCATTCAGTGGCTTTGGAATGGGCCTCAGTCTTCCCAGCTGTGTGCTGGGCCCTTCTGGCACACAGCCAGGGTCATAAGGCGAGAGTGAGCACAGCCTCAAAGCAGACTAGGTTAAAGGTCCAAAAGGAAGACTATGGACTTGTCCCCTCTTGGGGTCCCCCCCACCAGCCCCAGGCAGCTGCCTTCCTGAGTTCCTAATGCTCCAGGCCAATTTTCTCCCAGGTGAGCGATGCCCATCTTCCCAGCAAGAAGGACTCAAACTGGAACACAGTAGTGACCCATCAGCCAACGTGACTGGTGAGTGCAGCCTCAGCCACCCCCTGCCCACTTCCTAGGGTTGCCCTGCTCTTCTCACCTGCCCTTCCTCTGATGTCCCGAAGGCTTCAACCTAATCCGCCGACTGAATCTCATGAAGACATCTGCCATCAAGAAGATCCGCAACCCCAAAGGGCCACTCATCTTGCGACTGGGAGCTGCCCCACTGACCCAACCCACACGGTAACAGACTCTGGGTGACTACTGAGAATCCATACTGACCTCAGCCACATTCTTACAACTCTGGGTGTGAGTGGCCCAAGTCTGGGGCCTCTCTGGAGGCCGTTTTGGGCCTTCCCCAGCCTAAAGTCTACCTACTATCTGCCCCCTGGGCTTGAAGGGTGGGTTTGTGTGTGTGGTGACTGGCAACCCCAGCCTGGCTCTCACTGGCAATGGCAGAGCCAGGTTTATAGTCCCTGGTTGCAATGAGAACCCTAGGGTGGTTTCAAGAGCCTGTGTCTATGTGAGTGTGGTCTTGTGTGAAGCCCAAGTCCCAACAGCCTCTGAGCAGTCTGGCTCCTGCTGGCCAGTATCCCCTTTCCTGGCTGCGGTGTTTATGCAGAAGCCCTTGGTCTCTGTCTCAGTATCTCTCCTTCTGCTCCAGGTCCATACTCCATGCTGGTTCCTTGGGAGCCTCCTTCCTTTGCCAAAGTTGGGATGCAATGCTGAAATAGAAAAAAAAAGTATTTATTTATTGTACCTATGAGTGTTATGCCTACATGTATGTGCACCACATGTATGCATTGACTGCAGAAGCCAGAAGGGGCATTAGATTCCCCCTGAGACTCCAGTTATATAGATGGTTGTGAGATACTATATGGATGCTGGGAACCAAACCTTGGTCTACTGGTAGAGAAGCCAGTGCTCTTAACCACTCTCCAGTCTGCTGAGATGGTTTCAAGGATTCTCTGTTAATGTTCCTCTGTCCCATCAGGGCCCAGGAGACTTCCTGGGACAAGAATTTCCCTATTTTCACCACTGGCTTTCCCAGCAGCTAGTCAACCCTTAGCAGCCGGAAGGTGCTCAGTGAGTGTGTCAGGATGATGGTGTACATGCTTTGGAGCTGTGTGCTGTGCGTGTCTCGGGCAGGCTCATCCCCTGAGTGCCACGGAGCCTCAAAGCACCCTCTCTTCTCCCCTGCAGAAGAGTGTTCCCTCGGGGACTGCCAGAGGAGTTTGCCCTGGTCCTGACAGTCCTACTAAAGAAGCAAACCTTCCGGAACACGTGGTACTTGTTCCAAGTGACTGATGCAAATGGGTACCCACAGGTGAGCCCACCCCTTCCCTCACCCACTCCTTGGGCAACTGGTCGCATGTATCCAGCTCAGCTTCTACCCACCCTTGTGGTTTCTGGGGCGTCTCTGCTCCATCCCAATGCCCATCACATTCTTACAGGGTGTTCTCTGTGACCCCAGCTAGCTTCCTCCCTACCCCCGTGAAATAAGTTTGAGGCCCTCAACTTTGCCATGCTATGCCTCTAGAACTCTAAATCTCTGTCCTTTTTTTATCCCCTGCCCCCCTCCAATTTGTCACAGATCTCCTTGGAAGTCAACAGCCAGGAGCGGAGTCTAGAGCTCCGGGCACAGGGCCAAGATGGTGACTTTGTATCCTGCATCTTCCCAGTGCCCCAGCTCTTTGATTTGCGCTGGCACAAGCTGATGCTGAGTGTGGCGGGTCGTGTGGCCTCTGTGCATGTGGACTGCATCTCAGCCTCCTCCCAGCCCCTGGGGCCCTGGCAACCCATTCGGCCTGGGGGCCATGTATTTCTGGGCTTGGATGCTGAGCAGGGCAAACCTGTTTCGGTGAGTACTGGGTCCTGGTTTCTATTTCCACCTCTGGGGGAACTTTGAGCTCCTAGGAGTGTGTATCAGTGTTCAGATTCCCCGTCTGGAGCCATTGCCTTCCATATGCAGCCTAACCATATTAACCTGACATTCCAGGCCCTCCACCATCTGTCTATGTGTTCCTGGCATTTTCCTTATATCTCTCTATTGACTGCTGTCATCAATGCCCTCCTAGTCCAATGGATCACCTATGAAATTTGCTTATATATGCCTTTGCATATCCTTTCCCCTTCACCTGCAATGCTTTTCCTTAAATATTCATTTACAGGATGGGTCCAGCTTGGATGGAGCCACCTCTTACTGCCCTTCCTCCATCTTCTTCTCTCTCCCTATTCCTCCCTTCCTCCTCCATCTCTGCTCTTAGCGACAGCTCTATTCTTGATGGCTTCCCTGACTAGCCTGGAGAGACCCTAAAGTCAAATCCTGGGGTGAAGACGTCTTTGAGCCTCTTTGGGGACCAAGGCAGAGCTATTTGATCATCTGAAATAAGATAAAGTTGTGTGTCCCCTGCAGTTTGACCTTCAGCAGGCGCACATCTACTGTGACCCAGAGCTGGTGCTGGAGGAGGGCTGCTGTGAGATCTTACCAGGAGGGGTGAGGAGCTGGCCCCCAGCACACGCTGTGCTAGAGGAGGGGCAGCCTGCATGGGGATGGCAGAGGTCTGAGGATGCATCTGCCCCTCTGCTGACCCTGACCTTTCCCCCACATTGAGCAGTGTCCCCCAGAGACCTCCAAGGCCCGTCGGGATACCCAGAGTAATGAGCTCATTGAGATCAATCCTCAGACGGAGGGCAAGGTCTACACCCGCTGCTTCTGCTTGGAGGAGCCCCAGAACAGCAAGGTGGGTGAGCCAGGGAGGTACCAGGGGGACTGTTCCACCCCTAACCTGGCTGCTGCCAGACTCAGTAGGTCATGTGCCTGTGTTGGGAAGACCCCTGAATGTGGGCTTAACTTACGTCTTACCTTATGGAACTCAGGGAAGTAGAGAGAGAACCCATGGCATTACTCATTGGCATTGCACATTACGCCGCTCTAGCTCTGACTCTGGCCAGCCTCTCACTAATGCCATCTAGACCCTCCTGGGGAGGGCAGGACCCAGTCTGCAGTTTCTCCTGTACAGGGATATGTGGGCCCGGAGGCTCTCTCACTCTCGCAGCACCATGGCCAGCTGCCCCGTCCATTCCCAGGTTCTTTGGAGGTGACAGGAAAGCCCCATCCTTCCCTCAGCCCCCACCCTCTGGTTGGGCAGTGTCCCTGCCTACCCAGGCATCATGCCCAGTCTTTGACTGCAGAAACACAAGATCCCATTGATTCGTTGTCTGCTTTCTACATCACATGGCGGAGGGGAGGGGAGAAGGGGCGCCTGTGGGGGCAGCCTCAGGGGTCTGAGCAAGCCCTTGGTGTCCTGGGAGGTGCTAGATGCCAAACTGAGGGGGTGCCTGGCATGCATGTGCTCTGCCTGGATGCCCCTTTCCATCATGGACCCCAGAATTGCCCCTCTGTCTGCCCAGGTGGATGCACAGCTAATGGGAAGAAGCAGCCAGAAGGCAGAAAGGGGGACAAAGGTAGAGATGGTGGGTGGAGGGGGGAGCTCACGGTGCCCTCTGTCTGCCCTGCATGCCCTCTGTAAAGCCCTTGGAGAAGATGCCACACTCCCACTCTCTTCCTGCCTGGACAGAGCTTGGTTGTGTGGTGCCAGCTCTGAGAAGGGAAGACAGACTGGGTGGGACGCAGTTTTGGGTGTTCTCGAGAGAGCTGGCTCCTGCCTGCTCTTGTACAGGGGCTTGGAGCAATGCTTGATCCCAGGTTCTCCTCCTACCCCCATGCCCCCTTCTTCCCAGGTCCACCGGGAGACTGAAGTCAATGAGGTGAGCCTTTCTTCTGGTGGGGTGGTGTCAGCACTAACTCTTTGGATAAAGGTTTTGAGGCATAGAGCTTAGGTATGGGGGTGACAGAAGAATGTGAAGTACCCAACATTCCTGAGGGCCCAACAGGAGGCCCTGTCTGCCCTGGATTCTAGTGTAGAGGCCCTAGGAGCCAGTCCTACTGAGCTGGAAGCCAATGGCCATAGGCACATGAGGAAAGCCTAGGTCTTAGTCATGAAACCCTTCTTCAGTGACACGCTGTGTGGTCTTGGGCTTGTTACTGTTCCTCTCTGGGCTTTAGTTTTTTTCATTTGAGAAGATGACTATAGGTCTGTGTTGGTGGAAGATAAGGGGCAAGGTTGGCCTTCTACGCTTTCTGCCTCTATGCCCATCTCGGGTCATGCTAAGAACATGTGAGGCGCTGTTTGTACTGATGGCGAGAGAGACAGAGACACACAGAGAGAGACAGAGAGAGTGTGTGTTGTGCACTCTAGTGTTGGGTAGGGCTAATCTTGGTGTTCAGAATTGACCTGTAGGCCTGTTCCCTTGCAGTGCCCACCCTGCGTCCACGGTACCCAGGAGAGCAATGTAAGTGGATGGGGAGTCGTGGGTGGTGTGGCTGCAGTCTGGGCGTGCTTGCTTCCTAGAGCAGGCTGGAGCTTCCTGGTTGAGGACAAGGGGGCTTTGTTCACTTTCCCAGCATTCCCCTGCCTGATTCCCAGAGCTGGGCTTAGCCCCACCCCTCAGTCCATCAAGCCCTGAAATCTCCATGGGGTGTCATGATCCATGGTGGTGGCCTCCTTGGGAGATGGGAGGGGACTCAAGACCTTGGGTGCTGATTCCAGTTGTGCATTTGCCTCCAGATCTCAGATTCGCTTTGACTGGAAGGCACCACCTGTCACCTTGGAGGCCTAGGGGTGGGGGTCGGGGAGCAGCCCAGGGACATCTAGCTCAGAGCCTGAGCATTCTCCTCTCCTAGCCCAGCCCAGCCTTCCCACTAAGAGTCTGAAAGGACAGAACTCAGTGCAAGCCATTCAGTACCTACTGTGCCCCTTCTGCAGGCCGCAAGAGTTACCGTGTTTTGAGCTGGTGGGCTATATTGATTTACAAAGGGCATGAATCCCCTAACTTTGGGGAACTTAGAGGTGTCCCCCCACTGCTGCCTGCCTCTCTTTCTATCCAGTCTCCCTTCAAATCTGGAAAGGCCTTTGGTTCCCAGAGGTGCTGGAGTTGCCATGGCAACCGAATGACCATGTTAGCCTAACAACTTGAGGTGGGCCTAGTCAAAGGCAGGCAGGTTGGAGAGAGTAGATCAGACCCCTCTGTTGGCTTTACAGCCTTGGAAATAGACTCAGCACGCTGATTGTCCTGGATGGCAGGATGGGGACCGGGACTCTTGTGGTCGGTTCTGACATCATGCGGTGTGAGCCTCACTGATTTGCTTCCCCACTCTGGGCCCTTGGTTTCCTCTTGCTCCCTAAAGTTCAATGTTCTCTTCCCTCCTGTGTTCCCTTAGGTCACACTTGGTCCCTCTGGCCCCAAGGTAAGACCCAGCAGAGAGCAGAATTCTTCCATCTTCTTTGGTGGTCTTGGTCCCTCCCACCTCATGTTGCCCTCTGGTCATGTGTTTATATCAGAACTACCCGGTTGTGTTTAAGTCCGTGTTGGAGTGAGTGGGTTGTGTATGCAGAGTCCAGAACTGACCTTTGCTGAGGCAAAGCTCCTCAGTACCAAGTACCAAGCCCTGGGCTCTGGGTGCACATACCCTTCCTAGGAGGTGCGTGCTCTCACCATTCCAGGCATAGGTCATGGGATGTGTCAGAACGATCATGTGTGGGTACACCTGTATATTCTGGAACACATATCTGCACCTATGTGGCCCACAGGCCGAGGGTTGAACCTCCAGGGACCTGTGGGCTTAATGTGCCTCAAGTTTGTGAGCAATGGGACGAGCGTGGCTCATGTGAGCATGTGCGGTGCTTGCTGTGCTAGCTCGTGAGTGGGTGGGCTCTGCCCACCACGTCGCCCACAGCATCCCTGTCCTATTCACACAATGTCTGGAGACGGGGGCAGCTGCGTCAGTCCTGTTTTATTGATGAAGAATCCGAGGCTCAGGGAGGAGACGTGAATTGCACAAGGCTCGAGCTCAGGAAGTTTGACTATTAGCTGTCCTGGGTTTATGTTGTCCTCCGTGTCTACGCAACGTGTTCACGTGCTGTAGATCTGTTATGTGTTTGCTAATGTGCATGCCTGTGGATGCGGGGGATGGGATACTCTGTGTGAGACTGTGGGTTTGCCAAACAGCCTTTTGATGTATATGGAATCCTAATACTATGCGTAGTATATGGTGTGTGTGGGGGGGGTCTCTGTGTGTGTGTACACACACATTTGCATGCTAGAGGGATGGAGGCAACCAGGGGTGGGGAATACTTCCTGGAAGCTCCCTTCAGGCATGACTATCATTCTGGTCTCACCCACAGGGAGGGAAAGGTGAGCGAGGCCTGACTGGACCATCAGGCCCCAAGGGAGAGAAGGGAGCTCGGGTAAGTGCCCAAACCAAGTCAACATCAGGGCCCCTCCCACTGGAGAGGGGCTTGGTGGGATGTAAATTAACATCCCACCACCTCAGTGGGAAACCTGACCAAATGGGCATTTGGCCAGGCTTCTACAGGGATTAGCCTGGCCAAGTGGGCGTTTGGTCAGGGTTCTACAGGGGTCAGTCTGGCCAAGTGGGCATTTGGTCAGGGTTCTACAGGGGTCAGCCTGGCCAAGTGGGCATTTGGTCAGGGTTCTACAGGGGTCAGCCTGGCCAAGTGGGCATTTGGTCAGGGTTCTACAGGGGTTAACATGTGGAGGCCTATTTTCTAGGGTACCTAGGCCTTTCCTAGCAATAGGCTTTTGTGACTCCCCTGGAAGGCTCTAGCCTTGACCCCTGTTACTTACTTATAGGGCAGCGACTGTGTTCGAGTCTCCCCAGATGCCCCACTTCAGGTAAGACTGGGAGGTGAGGCCTGTTTCAGGGCAGAGACAGGAGCATTCTGCCCACTGAACCCCTTTTCTCCCTTGTCAGTGTGCAGAAGGCCCGAAAGGAGAGAAAGGAGAATCAGGAGACTTGGTAAGCCTGGGACCTACCACAGGGCAGAGAGGATGGGTCCTGACCCAGCCTTACCCATTCATTTGTGCTCTCTCCTCATCTTAGGGACCCTCAGGACTCCCAGGCTCAACAGGCCAGAAGGTAATGAGGACAGAAATGTCTAAGGCCTTCCTAGAGGATCATGACAAATCGGCAGAGTTGACTCTCCCCTCCCCATCTCTTCTAGTCCTCTGCCTAGTCCAAACACCCACCACATCTAGAAGGCAATACCACATGTTTGTGGAATGAGTCGTCTAGCTGGTTTAAAAGTTCTTTCTGTTGTCTGCCCTTCGGAGGAAGGCATGCATTTTCAGAAGAAGCAGAGTTGGGGAGGGGAGCTCTGGAAGGCCCTTGGTCCCCCCCCCAATAGGAACTAACTGCCCTGCTTCTTTTCTTCAGTCCTGGTCACTCGTCTCTTCCTTCCCTAGGGCCAGAAAGGCGAGAAGGGTGACGGTGGCCTCAAAGGATTGCCAGGAAAACCAGGCCGAGATGTATGTTTTTGGGGACCCTCTCCCTAGGCCTCAAAATGCTAGACTCTAACCCAGAGGTCCAGCCCCCTCCTGCTGGCCAAGGAGGTGAGGGGCTGTGTCCCAGGAGGCATAGCATGGCGGTATGGGTCCTGAACGCAGGTCTCTCGACTCTAAGCCCGGTCATATTGATAACTGTAGGGTGCCAGGTTGGGGTCTGGCATGGGAGAAGGACAATAAGGGTGACAGAGGTGTATATTTATATCCTTGTCTCAGTGGGGCAGTTGCCAGTCCCCTGGCTGTCCCTACCTTGGCCTTCTTCCCAATAGGGTCGGCCAGGAGAGATCTGTGTCATCGGACCCAAAGGGCAGAAAGTGAGTTGCAGGCCCGGGTGTGGGAGCAGCGATGGGGCTAAGGTGGTGGTCCCTCTCATAACCACTTGTGTGCCAGGGTGACCCTGGCTTCGTTGGGCCCGAGGGACTGGCAGGAGAGCCTGGCCCCCCCGGCCTCCCTGGGCTGCCTGGGATAGGACTGCCTGGGTCTCCTGTAAGTATCCCCACTCCTCTCCTGTTGTCCTCTCCTGAGACCCTTGTCTCCCCCATTCCTGCCCCTCCACAGGGTGGGGCTGAGTTGGGAATAAGACCAGGTCCCAGGGGTGCAGGTTGGAGGGTGACGTAAGACAAAACCCTCATCATACTGTAGAGAGGAAACTTGTACCACCCTGTTTCTGCCATCAGGGAGATCCAGGTGGCCCACCAGGCCCAAAGGGAGACAAGGTAAGCCTAGAAGGAGTATGGGCACGGGCTGCGGGAGAGGGGGGTAGGGAGTGTGACCATGCAGCGTGCATGCCTGAGGACATGGTGGGGGTTTTGACCTGCAGGGGCTCAGTTTAGTCAGGGTGCTAAAAGAGATGTTTCTACTCAAGTACTAGCTGGGCTGGGGGCGTTGGCTTTGGTGAGCAGCAAGCCCTGCAAATATCTGTCTGTCTGTCTATCTGTCTGTCTGTCATTCCTCCTTGTTGGGGCACTCAGAGTCCTAGTCAGACCTAGTCATCTCTCATCCTTTTTCAGAGCTACACACAGGAGGACAGGCAAGAGGAAGGGAGAATTTAGCCAGTCAGTGGACCAAATGGAACTGGGAGGTTCAGCTGAGAAGGCCGGATGAAGGGACAAAGGGGAAGGGGTCACATCAGGGGGAGCCTCGCCTTTAACCTTTCTTCTGGTTACAGGGCAGCTCTGGGACACCCGGAAAGGAAGGCCCTGGAGGGAAGCCTGTGAGTGATCGCTTGCAAGCAGGGGAGAGGGTTCCCTGCCTACCATGCCTGGGTCTACTCTTCCAGAGCCTCCAGGAGGAAGGGCGTGGGTCCTTGGCTCTTTCCGGGCATACTGATCCCTTTGCCCTGGCATTAATGTCCCTTCTTCTCTCTGCCCTCCCTCCCAACAGGGCAAGCCGGGAGTGCCAGGGACTAAGGGAGAGAAGGTGAGCTCCAGGCTTGGCTGCCCTGGGTTGGGTTGGGAACAGGATCTGCTCTGAGCAGCAGGGGCACTCTGCCCACAGGCAGGGCCTGCCTCAGGTGGCCCTCTCTTTATTCCTATGGAAGGTATGTAATTAGCTCAGGAGCCTGCCTGGGGGGTCGGTCACACTCAGACCCTGCCTCTGGCACCTACATGGTTTATGAGCATGGAGGGTCACTCGGCTGTCAGTGGGACACATGTGCCTCCCCTGGCTTCCTTCGAGGACATAGTGTCAGGAAGTCTGAGACTCCTTCATTCAGGAAAGGCCTTGGACATGAAGGCCCTACAGTGTTCCTGTTGTCCACTTTGATGATGGGGACACCTTAAACTGGTGTGATGGGAGGCTCCCATCTTTCCCAAGGTCTCACCCCCACCCCATCCTCCTGTGGTTGTTCCCTTCCACTAGGGTGACCCCTGTGAAGTGTGTCCAACACTGCCTGAAGGGTTCCAGAATTTTGTGGGACTCCCTGGAAAACCAGGTCCTAAAGGAGAGCCAGGTGATCCTGCTCCAGCCAGGGTGAGTCCCCAAGTGGCCATGGAAGGACATATTCAAAACAGACCCTGAGGGACTGGGTATTTCTCAAAGCCACAGAGAGGTAAAGCAGAGTGCAGCCCAGAAGGGGTTTGAACCATAGAGTTTACGACTGGCTAGAGTGTCATCCCAGGTTTTCATAGCAACCTCCCAGCACTTTCCCCACACCCCCAAGAGACTCTAGGATATCTTTTGGGCAAGATAGGGTGGAGCCATCTCCTACTGTGAGTAGTCTGCCCCTAGGCTTGGGGATTTGTTAAAGAGGATACAAGAAAGTGGTCAGGGCCAGGGTTAAGGTCCTGGCCCTGCCTCCTCATCCCACTCTTTGGTACATTCTCTTTCAGGATGGCCTAGGAACTGTTGGACTGAAAGGTGACCGGGTATGTAAGAAACTTTCTGTGGGGACAGTTAGCCTAAGTTTCTTTCCCTTGTTTGTTATATGAGTTGACAGGCACAGCCTCTGAACCACAGGACGGGGGCAATTCAAAAGGCATCCGTGTGCCATGTCACACTGCTGTCCTTAAATATGGCTAGAGCATTCGGGGTGTCCCGACATGCCTGCTCTCAGCCCACAAACCATTCTTTTTTCCTTGCAGGGAGATCCAGGCATTCAAGGCATGAAGGGAGAGAAGGTAGGAAGCCCCCGCGTCCTGCTCTTTGCCTTCTGTTACTTGGAAGGTTTTGATTCTCCTCTTCCTTCCTTAGGGAGAACCCTGTTCATCCTGCAGTTCAGGTGTTGGGGCCCAGCATCTTAGGCCCTCTACAGGGGCCAGTGAAGACCCAGACTCCCTTGGCCATGGTTTACCTGGCCTTCCGGTGAGTGACCTGCCCTTGGCATACTAGTGGTCGTCCTAACTCTTCGGGTCCCAAACTTTGGGGCAGGGACCAGGAGGTGGGCCATGGCTTTTCTCTCTCTGTGCTAGGCTGCTGCTTGTAAAGTGGTAATTGTCTAGCAACTCCCCTCGCTCCTTTCTCTTGCTCACTGGACGCTGAGACACCGGGAGTTTGGAGGGGTGTCAGCGACCCAGACCAGAGGCGCTATGACTCCATCTTGTTTTGTTTTGTTTTAAGGGGAAATCTGGAGTTCCTGGGCCAAGAGGTCTGAAAGGAGAGAAGGTGAGTCCAGGGCTGAGAGTCAGAGACACAGGCTGCAGGGGAGACAGCCCTGAGAGGCAAATGAGGCAGAGATCAGACTGGAATTTTACCGCAGAACTCATCCATCAGGGGTTTGGTTTTGTTTTTCTCAGCAGAGTCAAGGAATTTATTTCCAAGAAGCTCATATTTTCAAGAGAATTCCTTAGTGCTGTATTTTTAATTTCACGATAATCTAAAACCATTAAGCACGTCCAGACCACCTTATAGCAAGATAATACTTAGTTTCCCTTTTCTGTTCATTATTGCCAGGCACAGCTCCAAGCCTTGTGCATGTTATATTCTTGCTTTATTCCCCCCGGATCTGATGGGGCACATTTCTTCTCCATTCTTCCCATTTTATGGATAAGGAAAATGAGACGTAAAAAGACCAAGGAAATCTCCCAGGGCTCTGTGGATGTTTGGATACAGAATTGTGATTTGAGCCCAGGAAGTCTGGCTTCACTGTAGTCCATAGTCACCACTACTCGGCTGGGTTTCTACAGTCGATACCCATGTTAACACTTGTATTTATGATTGTGCTAGATATAAATGTCTAATAGAGTGTTGCTCAAATGAAGGGTTCTGTGGGTGTGGAAGCACTCAAGCGGGGGGCACATTAGGATGTGCGTTTAGACTCACCTCTAACAGGCGAATCACTTGTGGCGTTTCTCAAACCCCTTCCCAGCCCTGCTCTCCTTCCATTAGTGTGTGTGTGTGGTGCCACTGAGATTGAATCAGAGTCTACTACGTGCTTTACCAGCCCTCTACCACTGAGTTAAATCCCCTGCCCCACAGAGATCTGAAGAACCCTTATTTCACTCCCTATTTTGAAATAGGGTCTCACAAAGTTGCCCAGGCTGGCTCTGAACTCACAGTGTAACCTCAGGCAGACCTTGACTCTTCAGTACTGGATTAGAGGCTAACAAGTGTGACCAGCCTTTTCAGACACAGCGAATAGCATATCCCGAAATCCCCAAAGCCCAGAGCTGACCTCACCCTTGACCCCTCCGTCCCCCACACCTTCTCCCTTCCATCCATCCAGCTGCAGATCCTGATAGTTCAGCCCCAATCTCCCTCACCCCTCCCTGCTGCTCTCCATTTGTGGCAGTGGGTCTCCATGGCCTCCCTCCTGATGGCAGTGACCCTCTTCTGGCCCGCAGGTGTCCTTAGCAGCCCTTGGGCAGCCCATTTATCACTGAGCAGCTCATGTGGCTTTGTAGAAAGAGCTCCAGGGACGGAACTTCCTGCTTGCAGGTCTTTGGGGACTTGGCTTTGTGCCACCGTCCTGCTGGACCTCATGCTGGGCGACCTTCGTTCTAGAGCCCCCTCCTCCTCTCTCTGCCTTCCTTTGCTTCAGTCATCTGACCCTCTTCCCTTCTGGAGCGTGTGGAGACTGTTCCCCCTCCAGACTTCATACAGGTGACTCCCATAGGAACACAGAAGCTCCCGCCTTCTTTCACTGGCGAGCCTCATTTGCACCCTTCTGATGACTGTGGTGCCACGTCTCTGACCCCCCTGTATAAACGGAACCTCCTCTGGTCTGGGTCATTGCCTTGCTCCCTTCACGCACTCATTGTCACCGACAAGGTTACTATTTTAAAAGCTCCGCCCATAAGGAGCTAGCCCTGCAAGCTTGAGGACCCGAATTCGAATTCCCAGCATCCATATAAAAAGTCAGAACCCTGAGCACTATAACCCCAGCACTGAGGGTGAGAAACAGATAAAAACCTGGAGCTCACTGACCGGCTAGACAAGTGGAACTGATGAGCGCCGGGGTCAGGGAGAGAGACCCAATCTCAAAGTATTATGTGGAGGATGTTTGTGGAAGATGCCTGATGTCAACCTATGGCCTCTACCCACATGCATATGGGTAGACTACACCACACAAATACACACACACACACACAGAGACACACACACACAAGTTGGAAAGAAAGATGAGAATATAGTTTAATTGGTAAGGTGCTTGCCCACCATACACAAAGCCCTGAGTTTGATCCCCAGCACTATAGAAACTGGGCAGGGTGATGCCCACCTGAGGCAGGAGGATCAGACGTTCAAGGTGATGCTTGACTACATAGCTTAGGGTTACTGTTTTAAAAAAGCTCTTCAGTGTGCAGGGTCCACGGGGCATTTTTGTCTCTGCTGTTCACGTATGCAGTACCTCGCCTGGTGCTCGGGGCCAAAGGCAGTCGATGAGTAGCTGTTGGAGGAGAAATGACTTCATGATCTCTGCCTGGCGAGAGGTGGAGCGGGCTGGGCGCAGCGTCAAGGCTGTAGCTGGTCAGGGATTTCCTGAGGAATTTGGGGGGAATCCTAGCCTCACTCCTTTGCCAGTGGACATCCCAAGAGTCTGCTCCTGCGTCTGGCACCTCTACCCTGTTTCTCCTTAACTATATGCTCTCTGCTTGGCCCTCAGGGTAATTTTGGCGATGCAGGGCCGGCAGGAGTTCCAGTAAGTATACTTCAGATGGCAGTGGCTTAGGGGAGGGCAAGGTGGGAGGTGCTGCCCTCCACAGGAGAACTGACAGGCTTGGGCTGGGCCTCTGCCTAGCCTTGGCTACTACTGGGCAGCCTCTCATATGGCTTCTCATGCAGGGGCCACCAGGACCAGTGGGACCAGCAGGCACCAAAGGGGCAAAGGTGAGAGTGGGGCTCCTGGCATGGCACAGGGCACATCCCTGAAGAAGATACCCTTGCTCTAGTCTGTTCTATTCCAGACCCTGGATTCTCTGCAGTCTGTGGGGTGAATTCTGGCTCTTAGCGACATAGTCTTGCTTCCATCTTCACTTCTCCCCGTGCTCCCTGTCTCTCTGCTGTGCTCCTCGTCTCTCCAGAGACATCCCCCACTCAGCTGAGCTGGCTACCTTCTGCAGGTCCAGATCCCAAGGCCTAGAACCCAGGAACCCCTTAACCCAGTATCTTTTGCTCTGCAGGGGGAGCCTTGTGAGCCCTGTGCAGCCTTGTCCAGGATTCCGGATGGGGACAGCCATGTGGTTCACTTGCCCGGCCCAGCTGGAGAGAAGGGAGAGCCTGGTCCCCCAGGCTTTGGATTGCCTGGGAAGCAGGTGAATTCTGGGATCTCTGGAGATGGATGTGCGCAGGATGCAAGGAAGAGCATGGTCCCTCCCCGCATCTCTGGACTTCCTAAGCAGAAGGATAAAGTGGGGTGGGGTCAACCTTTCTGTGTCTAGTGCAAGCTGCTTGCATCCTGCACACAAGTGTCTGCCTTTTCTCCTGGGACATAGAGTGGCAGAGCAAGGACAAGGCACAGCCTCAGCAGAGCTAGGTTCCAATTCTGGCTCCGATTTTGATAAGATCTTTGGCTTGAGCAAGTCACTCTTGTTCTCTGTCCCTCTGGGTCCCTTCCTTAGAGTTGTGGTGAAGCTCGTGTGCAAAGCACTGGACAGCGCACAAGGGCTGCAGGAGAAATGGCAGTTACCACTGTAGGTCGGTGGCTGCCGCTTTTACAGTAACAGCAAACACTGACCCAGCACAACACTCTCACAGGAACCCTTGGGTGCAGAAGCCTACACTATGTCCTCCTCCCCATTTGACAAATGAGGAAAGTGAGCCTAGATAAAGCACCTTGCCTAGGTCATACAGGCAGAAATCTCTCCAATGTTAGACCGGTTACCTAGCATAAGAACGTAGGTCATCGTGTCTCGTATTCTGCCACATCCCCTGGGTCTCACACAGTGCTGGGTACCCAGGGGCTTGACTCTGAGTGAATGGGTGCTGGGACCGTTTTCTCCTCAGGGCAGAGCTGGAGAGCGTGGACTCAAGGGCCAGAAGGTGAGAGGATGTGGATGGGCATGGAGGTGGGTGGGCGCCTGGTGGTCTTGGAGGCTGCTCTGTCCCTCTTTCTTTCTTTCTTTCTTTCTTTCTTTCTTTCTTTCTTTCTTTCTTTCTTTCTTTCTTTTTCCTTCCTTCCTTCCTTTCTTCATTGAAAATATATTTCTTATGGAATATATTCTCATCACAGTTCCCAACTCCTTCCAGATCCTCCCCACATCCCTACCCATCCAATTCCACCCCCCTTCTCAGAAACAACCTACCCCCCCTTTCTTGATTATCTGTACCAATCTCCATTCCCTTCTCAGCCACCAGTCCGGTGAAGAGACTGCTATTGCCCACAGCTCTCAAGAGGCAACCTGCCCCCAGCTGGGTGACTCCTGTCTTCTTTAAACCCTATTTCTTTCAGGGTGATGCTGGAAATCCAGGAGACCCCGGAATGCCAGGCACCACTGGGCAGCCTGGAATGTCTGGAGAGCCTGGGGTTCGGGGTCCTGCTGGACCAAAAGGAGAAAAGGTAAGTGGACCAGGCTTGGAGGAATTTGTTGCATGGGCAAATAGAAATCAAGGTGTCAGTTAATGAGGGGTGGGACCCCAGGGAGCCTCAAGGGAGCCCAACGGCACCAGATTCCTCGGCTCTCCTTACTGCAGCTTGTAGTATCAGGGATCTGTTTTTTTCTCAGCTGAGGTGAGGCAGAAGAGGGGTGGGGCTCTCAGAGGATGCAGGAGGCCCCTTTATGAGGCCCCCTGGCCTGGCTACCAGTTCTGGCTCACAAGTTCCCCCTGACCATACCTGTCTCTTGACCAGGGCGATGGCTGCACTGCCTGCTCTAGCCTGCAGGGGGCGTTGACCGATGTATCAGGACTGCCTGGGAAGCCAGGCCCCAAGGGAGAGCCAGGTCCCGAAGGTGTGGGCCGGCCTGGGAAACCAGTAAGTTTCGGTGACTCATTCTTCCCTACCTGGGTGTTGCCTTCTCTATCCTCCCAACACACCAAGGGTTCCCTTGTGCCTTTTAGGGCCAGCCTGGTCTACCAGGAGTTCAAGGGCCCCCAGGACTGAAGGGTATTCAGGTATGTGCGGGAATGGTAGCCCTGGGCAACTACCTGTGGGACTCTGGGACTGAAGACTTGGAATGAGGGATTGAGTCACAGAGTGGTGGAAGGTGGGGGTAGATAAGTCTTCAAAGGGGCTTGGGAGAAACTGGGGGATGGGCTGAGAATTTCCACCCAGGGGTTGTCGGTTTTCCTCTTTAGGGAGAGCCTGGACCTCCAGGCACCGGTGCTGAGGGACCCCAGGTGAGTATCTCATCCCACCTTTGCCTTCCTGCCCTCTTCTAACACTGCCATAGCTGCCAGTTTCCCAGTCCCAGGCTCTACCTGTCTAGGGGTCACAGCAGTCTTGGCCCGATGTTACCCTGTACAGGATTTGGATTTTTTTTTTTTTTTTGAGATAGGGTCTCTCTCTATATATAGCCCTAGCTGTTCTGGAACTCACTATGTAGATCAGGCTGTCTTTGAACTCACAGAGATCTACCTGCCTCTGCCTCCTGAATGCTGGGATTAAGGCATGTGCCACCCACAATGCCCTTCCAGAATTTGGCTTTGTTCCTCTCCACCCATTACACTAGCCCTTGAGTTGGGGCTGGCAGACACCCTCCAGATCTGCCAGTGACACAGGTCCAAGGGACAGGTAACTTTGGTTACTGTGCCACAGACTTGTATTCTGACTTGCAGGGCGAGCCTGGAGCCCAAGGTTTACCTGGCATTCAGGTAGGTTTCCTATGGCCTGGAGGTGGCTGACAGGGGAAGGGGCCATTTTATGGTAAGAGATAACCAACTGGGCTTCCATCTGCAGGGACTTCCGGGACCTCGGGGACCACCTGGCTCAGCTGGAGAAAGAGGTGCCCAGGTGAGCCCCTTCCTCTGTGGTTGTTGGGGCTGCAGGCATGGAGACCTGGGACTAAGTGACAGCAGCAGAGGGGTTGTCTGAGGTCTGATCTGATGTATCTGGGATACATCTCGCTCCTGGATGGTCCTGGTTTCAAATCATTCCTCGGCAACCTGTGTCCTCTCCCCACAGGGACCTCCAGGACCCAAAGGAGCCACAGGACCCATGGGACCTCCTGGTACTAGTGTCTCTGGGCCTCCGGTAAGAGCCTTTCCTACGCATAACTAGAGCTGTGATTGGGCCCTTGACGCTGCTTCTTCAGGGAGGGCACAGAGTTGACCCTGCCCATCTCAGCAGCCTGGGGTGGGAGGAGACAAGCCTCCTGGGCCATTGTCAGGGAAGGAAGACACACGGGAACTGCCTTTAAATGATAAACTCTGCCATGTGTTTCCCTTTTCCTCCTCCCCCCCCCCTTTCTCGGTGTGTGCATATGTATGTGTGTGCATGTGCCCCACATGAGCTCATGTGCCGGTGGGTGCTGGGAACTGAACTCTGGTCCTCTGGAAGAGCATCACATGCTCTTCACTGCTGAGTCATCTCCCCACTCTTCCTCTGTTATCTTTTTTTTTTGTTATTTTTTTGTTATCTTTTTTTTAAAAGATTTATTTTTATTTTATGTGCATTGGTGTTTTATCTGCATGTGTATCTGTGCGAGGGTATCAGATTCCCTGGAACTGGAGTTACAGACAGTTGTGAGCTGCCATGTGGGTGCTGGGAATTTAACCCAGGTCCTCTGGAAGAGAAGCCAGTGCTCTTAATCACCGAGCCATCTCTCCAGCCTCCTCTATTGTTTTTAAAGATATATTTTCAATCTCGGTCATTCTGACAGATGTAAGGTGGTATCTCAAAGTTGTTTTGATTTGCTTTTCTCTGATAACTAAGAATGTTGAGTACTAAGTGTCTTTCAGCCATTTGAGCTTCCTCTGTTGAGACTTCTCTGTTTAGATCTGTACCCCATTTTTTATTTGATTATTTTGTCTTTTGATATCTAGTTTCTTGAGTTCTTTGTATATTTTGGAGATCAGTCCTCTGTCTGATGTGGTTTGGTGAAGATCTTTTCCCATTCTGTAGGCCACCATTTTGTCTTGTTGACTGTTCCTTTGCTTTACAGAAGCTTCTCAGTTTCAGGATGTCCCATTTATTAATTGTTGCTCTCAGTGTCTGTGCTACTAGGGTTCTATTTAGGGAGTGGTCTCCTGTGCCAATGCGTGCAAGGCTATTTCCCACTTTCTCTTCTATGAGGTTCAGTGTAGTTGGTTTTATGTTGAGGTCTTTTATCCATTTGGACTTGGCGTTTTTATTTAAAAACAAAACAAAACAAAACAACAACAACAACAAACCCTCCGATGACAGCTTATGCTGGACAGGGTGTGGAGTAAGGGGGAACACTCCTCCATTGCTGGTAGGAATGTAAACTTGTACAGCTGCTTTGGAAATCAGTATGGCTGTTTCTCAGAAAATAGGGAATCAATCTACCTGAAGACCCAGCAATACCACTTTCGGGCATATACCCAAAGGATGCTCAATCGTGCCACAAGGACACTTGCTCAATTGTTCATAGTAGCATTATTCGTAATAGCCAGAATCTGAAAACAACCTAGATGCCCCTCAACCAAAGAATGGATAAAGAAAATGTGGTCCATTTACACAGTGGAGTGCTGCTCAGCAGTAAAAAGCAGTGACACCTTGAAATCTGCAGGCAAATGGATGGAACTAGAAACAACCATCCTGAGTGAGGCAACCCAGACCCAGAAAGACAATTACAATATGTACTCACTCATAAGTAGGCAATAGACATAAAGCAAAGGACAGCCAGCCTACATGCCACAACCCCAGAGAACCAAGGTAGCAAAGAGGACCCTAAGACACACATGGATCTACCTAGGAAGGGGAAAAAAAGACAAGATCTCCTGAGAAAATGGGAGCATGAAGGGCAGTGGGGAGGGTAGAAGGGGAGAGGGGAGGAGGGAAGAGGAGTCGGGGAAAATGTATAGCACATTTCTATCCAAACAATTAAAATGAGAATATATATATATATATATATATATATATATATATATATATATATATTTCAAGGACTAGGGAGATGCTCAGTGGGTAAAGTATTTGCTGCATGAGACCCTGAGTTTGATTCTCTGATCCCCACATCCATGTAGAAAGTCACATGTGTCCAGGCATGGGGGTGCATACCTTTAATCCCAGCATTCAGAAGGCAGAGACAACTGGATCTCTTCAAGTTCAAGACTAGCTTGGTCTACTTAGCCTGTTTCAGGGCAGCCAGGGTTATGTAGAGAAACCCTGTCTCAAAAACAAATTGGGAGGCAGAGGCAGGTGAATCTCTGAGTTCAAGGCTAGCATGGTCTACAGAGTGTGTTTCTGGACAGCCAGGGTGACACAGAGAAAACCCTGTCTCGAAAAAGCATTCCCACCACCACTAATAACAACAAACAAAAGTCAGATGTGATTGCATGTAGCCGTAACCCCAGTAGTGTAAGCCTAGGGATCACTGGCCAGTCAGTGTAGACTAACTGGAAAGTCCCGGCTACCCATGACAGGCTGTGTCTTAAAAACAATTGAACAATCACACACACACAATCACGGTAGATGGTTCCTGAGGAATGACAGCCTGAATTCTGACCACTTCACATGCACACACACACACACACACACACACACACACACACACACACAGTCTTTTCCTTTAAAACTTCAATTTTTTTTATGTATATGAATGGTTTGTTTGCATGTGTAAGCCTGGTGCCTGCAGAGGTAAGAAGAGGGCACCAGATCCCCGGGGTCTGTAGTTGCAGATGGTAGTGAGCCACCACGTAGGTGCTGGGCCTCTAACCTGCGTGCTTTGCACAAGCAGTAAGTGCTTTTAACTGCTGAGCCAGCTCAGTATTTTGCTTTTTCAAATCAGATTATAGTTCACTGTCCATATTTACAAAGCACATTTACGCAGGGTATTCTGAACAAATCAGGGTGATTAGCATTTCATCTTCTGATCCTTTCTTTGTGTCCAGAACCCTCAGCCACTCTGCTGTTTGTAAACCGGGGTCACCTTCCTGTTCTGTAGAGGACTAGAAATTGTTTATCCAAAACTAATAGAACTTTGGTCGCCATTATTCAGCCCCCTTGTTTTTTCCCTCCCCTCTGTCACTAGCTCACTCCCCTGTTTGGAGATCTACATTTTTAGCTTCTGAAGGGAGAGGAACACGGTCATCCCCATTTTTGAAGCAGTGGCCTGCTGAGGCCCTGTGCTCAGTCAGCTCTGGACATGCAGAAATGAGCTTCCTCTTCAAGACAGCCCTGTAGAGGCCGGGAAGTGGTGGGGCACGCCTTCAATCCCAGCACTTGGGAGGCAAAGGCAGGTGGATCTCTGTGAGTTCAAGGCCAGCCTGGTCTACAAATACAAAGCAAGTTCCAGGATAGTCAGAACTACACAGAGAAACCCTGTCTTAAAACACAACCCTGTAGAGGAAGTGCTATGATTTTATTGGTGTGTTTCAGAGGCAAGGACTAACACTCTAAGCCAGACTTAACCTGGAACTTGGCTGTGTAGCCAGGGTTTGTACTGAAAACTTGGCACGCCTCCTCTCTCAGCTTCCTAAGTGTTGGGATTGCAGGTATGAGCCACCAAAATGGGCTAGGAGCTGCTGTCATTTTCCAGTTCCACACAAGGCAAGCAAAGACCAGAGAGTAGGGGGTGGAACTGGGAACTTGAAGCTTACCCCTTATCCCAGCCCTGAAGCCCCCTGGGGACCTTCCACTGAGCATCTATGGGGATAGAAAGGTTCTATTCTGTGCTGCCCAAGACAATGACTCCCACACTTAAAAGACCTGTCTATTGAGCAAATTGCATAGATTAAGTAATAATAAGTGCATTTTCTCATTTTAGTCATCAAAGACCTGTCTAATAGTCAGCTTCTACTCCATGTGAACCCACTAGAATTTTACAAGATGATAATTTTAGCTTGAATCAAAGAAATGCCACCTTTCAGCCAGCCTATGCCATGCTGGGCTGTGGGCAAATGTATAATTTTTCTTGAGCTTTTGGTAATGTTGAAAATAGCCTAGTGAGCCTTATCCTTTCCCTGTCTTTTGTAGATCCCTAGAGAAATTGTTGTTTGAGTTCGGAGAACATTGATAAATTCTTTCTGGTGGTGTGCCAAAGCCTAGAGGGACAGGGATTTGCCCGAGCCCATATGGCTTTGCCCAGCAGACCTAGACAGTCGGAATCCCTGCCTATCTCAAAGCAGGGTAAAGGTGGAACTGGAGACTTGTCCCAGGATGACTTTGAACCCTGGATCCTAAGGTGGAGCATCCCCAGGAAGGCAGTCATGGGGATGTCTGCTATGCTCAGCACATCTGTGTGTTTGCTCATGATATACTCCTTGTCAGAAGCACTGACAGACCTCTCCTGTCCCCAATCCCACGGAGGGGGGGACAGCTTCCAGGTGTGCCCCACACTTCCTGGCTGTGTGACTTTAGGTAAGTGATAGTGTCTCAGAGTTGATATAACAAGGTCTGAAATTCCATTCTCTCAGCTCGGCCTACAGAGCAACTTAAACAGCAAGGATGTGTGCAAAGAGAAAAAGAAGGAAGCGGGGGCCTTTGGGCCCACAGATCTCTGGCCAGGCTTGTGTGCTTGATCCTGTGGCTCTGAAATCTCTTCAAGCCTCAGTTTCCTCATTTGCAAAGCAGAACCCTTTCCTGAAGGAGGCAGGTGGAGGCCTCATTCACTGTTCTCCGATGGGTGCTGGGTGCAGGGCCCAGTACTGGGAGCCACACCCTCTCTTTTCCTCCCTCCTGCTTCTCCTTGCATGCTGGCCACAATCTCCCCTCTGGAACAGGGGGATCAGGGGGCCTGGCACTGCTTCCATTTCCGCTGCTATTCTCCTCTAGCCAAATGACTGGCTGCCATCCAACCTTAAGTACTAACTCTGCCCCTTTCCCTTCAGGGCCAAGATGGGCAGAAAGGAGAGATTGGCCTTCCAGGAGCCCAAGGGACACCAGTGAGTATAGTGGCCCAGACAGCAGGATTCTGTGGCTGGATCTGCCTCCCTCTCACACCTACTCACTTCCTGGTGTTTTATCTCTGCAGGGTGAAAAGGGATCTCGAGGAGAGAAGGTAAGTCTCAAGGACCTAGGGCCACCGCTCTTTGGGACTGGACTCCTAGAGTCCCATTCCTCATAATAGCTGCTCAGGCTGGAGGATGGGTCAGGTCGCCTTACTGTTAACAGGCTTCCTGGTCCCGAGAACTGTGGGTATCACTCTCACTTCATGCAGGGGATGATAGCTCAGAATCCAGCCTTGATCTCAGGGGACCAGAGAACTCCAGGGCCCCTTTAGTGGACAGCTGCACTTCCACATGGAAGCTGGGTCAGAGGATGAGGCAAGAAGAGAGGAAGGCAGAGGGATGAGGGAACCAGGATAAAAGGGCACAGAACTAGGCAGAGCCTTGGGGAGTGGGGCTGCTCAAGATGAAGCCATGACTGCTATGGTGAGATTATGTGGGCGCATAGCGAGGGGGCTAACGGGGACCCTGAGATGGACAGGACTGGATTATTCTCCTGGTTCTCAGTTGATGGTGACTTAAACTAAATGGCCACTACACACTGCATACAGCCCATCCCCTGGTGGATGAGGAGGCTGAGGCCTGTGGGTTGCCTGAAGCCATGATGTAGGAAGCTGATCCGGAACTCTCCAGCTCTAAAGCCTATGCCACCTCCCAGAGGAGGTTGCCAGAGACCCTTTGTCTTTGCCACTTCAAACCAAGGCTCTTGTCCTTCCAGGGTGAACCTGGAGAGTGCTCCTGTACTTCTCGGGGAGAGGCCATCTTCTCTGGCATGCCGGTGAGTGGGCAGAGCTGCTTTCCTGCCTTCCCCACTGGGGGAGAGGTCTGGATCCTCGCCTCACCTGGTGCCAGCGGGCGAGAGCCCTTGCCAGGCTTCGTGTTCCAGCCAGCCCCCTTCCCGTGCAGCTCTGCGCTTGGTGTAGGCGTTGTCTGTAACCTCTCCCCTTCTTTTGCGACCCCCACTCCCACCCAGGGTGCTCCGGGACTGTGGATGGGCAGCTCCTCGCAGCCGGGCCCGCAGGTGTGTGTGGCTTGTCTCCTTTGTCTTGCCTCCTGTCGCGGCTTTCCCACCCTGACACTACTGCCATCCACTGTGGCAGGGAGCTCTCTTCCCCTTCTGATTTTGTCTTCTCTCCCACAGGGTCCCCCAGGTGTCCCTGGACCACCAGGTCCCCCCGGAATGCCTGGACTGCAGGTAAAAGGGTGAAGAAAGAATCTGGGGTGTGGGGGTTAGGGCCCAAGCAGTCGTGGGACCTCCTCCATCCTGGCCCTGAGTACTGTTTCTCTACTTACACATCTGTCATGGGTTCTCCTTGCTCTTGCCTCCCGGCATGGCATGACTGGCTCACAGAGCCCTGGGCCAGGCTTGTGGACTCCTAGCCTTATTTTGAGGAATGTACTGTTGTGTTTTAGCCCAAGCAAGCCCAGGCCTGGCAGGAACCCAGGCTCTGCTGGTACAGAGTGCACTGCTGGAGCAGCAGTCAGCATGTGTTGGTGTGCCGTGCATTTCTGCCCGTGTGATCTTTCCCAGGCACCATTTTAGATACCGGGATGTAACAGTGAACCAAACATTAGCATCCCTGCAAGAGAGATGGGTAGCAAGCAAGAAATAGAAACTCTAGTATATTAGAGCGTGGTCCGTGCAAGGGAGGGAGATACAGCTGACTATGGGGACGGACAGTGGGAGAGAACTGGGAAGACCTCTGTGAAACATACTGAAGAAAAAGGTGACATTTGGTGGAGCTGGGAAGGGGGCCTAGTTTGTAAAGCGCTCACTGTGCAAGCATGGGGACCTGAAATCAGGTCGCTCGCACCCGTGTTCAGAGCCAGACATGTGCCTGTAACTCCAGTGCTTGGGAAAAGAGGCAGAGGCAGGAGGATACTTGGCTCTTGCTGGCCCGCCAGTCTAACTGGTGAGCTCCAGTTTCAGTGAGAGACCCCATCTCAGGAACTAAGGTGAGAGCTAGTGAGATGGTTCTGCCGGGAAAGGCACTCATATGCAGGCCTGCTGACCTGACTTCCATCCCCAGATCCCACAAGATGGAAGGAGATTAAATCCTCAGCTGTCCTCTGAGCTCCACAACCTTGCTGTGGCATTTGTATACTTGTGTGTGTGTGTGCATGAGCATGTGCACACACATACACACACACTGACTCACACATATTGATTCACATATGTACACATGCACACATACATTAAGTTAAAAATGAGATGGAGAGGGTCTGGAGAGATGGTTTAGCAGTTAAGAACACTGGCTGTTCTTCCAAAAAACCTGGGTTCAATTTCCAGCACCCATATGGCAGTTAACAACTGTCTCACAACTGTCTGTAATTCCAGTTCCAGGGGATCGGACATCCTCATCCAGAGTATATACAGGCAAAACATCAGTGCACATTAAATAAATAAATTAATAAATCTTAGATCAACTGAGGAAGATATCCAGTGTTAGGATCTGGCTTTAACATGTACACACACATACACATGAATCTACATACACACATGCACATACACATAAACATACACACATACAAATAAAATAAAAGGTGACATTTGGATCAAAATATAATGGAAATACAAGTGAATCTGTTGGGGAGAGAACACTCCTAGGGAGGAGCACCCCTGAGAAGGAGCATCCCTGGGGAGGAGCATCCTTGAGGAGAAGCACCCCTGGAGAGGAGGACCCCTGGGGAGGAGCATCCCTGAGGAGGAGCATCCCTGGGGAGGAGCACCCCTGGGGAAGAGCACCCCTGGGGAGGTACCCTCCTATCAGGGAAGGCAGCAGATACAAAGGCCTAGAGGTTACAATGTCCATGATGTCCTTGGAAATAGCGCAGAGGCCAGAGACAGTAAGGCGAGACTATTAGGAGGAGCCGAGATCCATGTCACACTTCAGTTCCCAGAGCCAGGGCAGCCTCAGTCTGAAGCTCATCTCTGCCATGTGCTCTGGGATACTGGGCAAGTTCCTTAGTCTCACGGTATCTCCATGCCTTTATCTGTTAAATGTAGATCATTAAAGCACCTGCCTCAGTGGGCTTCTTGTAAGTATTAAATAAGCTTGTGTGTGCAACACGTGTGAAATCTTTCCTGGCACACAGTGAATGCCCTGGGGCGTTAGCTATTGCCACAGCATTTCCTGCTCTTAGTTTACACTCCTCTCTCATTCCTTTGAGCCTTATGTCAGCCTCAACCCCTAAGTCACACCACTGGGGCCAGCTTAAGCCCCAAGAGGTGAGCTAGCTTGTCCAAGGCCTCACAGTCAGGTATTAAAGAGCCACCTCTGAGCTTTCCCAAGTGGAGCCTTTCTCCCCCCTTCCTCCAGCTTTCAGGACAGCTCCCAGGGGTCTGCTCACCAGGAACCAGAGCACATTTGGCAGTCTTTGCGTTTGATGAAAGTGTCCGAGCTTTCTGTCCAGTGCCAGCATTCAGCGATCCATCAGCCGGGGGCATGGAGTTGGCTTGTGGAGGCTGAGTCATTCCAAAGTGACCCATTAACCAGGCAGAGCTAGCATAGTGCGAACCGTGCCAAGCCACACCAGGGGAACAAGGGCAGGAAAAAGTGCTGAGTACAATCCCAGGACCCAGAGTTGTTATCTGATGCCCGTGTCCATGACCAACCTGAGGCTGCCGCAAACAGGCGCCTGCCCTTTGCCAGGCTTCTCTGTGCAGAAATGGGCTACGAGGTGGATGTTGTCTATCCGCCCAAGGCTGTGTCCCAATGCCCACAGATGGCGTTCTATCCGGATCCATTTTCCAGCTGAGGAGCTTGAGGCACAGAGGTTAAGAAGTGAACCCAAGGTTTTTAGAACTGGAAGGTAGTGGTCAGACTCAGGCTGCATCCTCTACTACTAGAGGAGAGCACACATGTGTAATCCTATCAGGGTAAGAGAGACTCATGCACTCAAACTTGAACTAGCACAGCAGCCCTGGAGTAGAGTCATGGGTGAGTTATAGTAACAGGGCTGGGGGCATGGCTCAGTTAGTAGTGTGTTTGCCCAGCATGCAAGAAGCCCTGTGGATCCCCAACACCCAGTACACTGGGTGAGGTGGCACATGCTTGCAATCCCAGCTCTAGGTGGTAGAGGCAGCGGGACCAGGGTTCAAGACCATTCTCAGCTACATAGTGAGTTTGAGGCTAGTCTGGGCTGCACGAGACCCTGTTTCTAAACAAAAACATTCAAAGCATTTGCCCATGTGTCAGGCACTGTTCTAGACCCTGAGGACACAGTGGGTGGTGACCCAGGAGTGGGAGAGCCTGCTCTGGACAAGAAGGAACCACTCAGGGGAAGCTGGCCTGTTCCAGTGCTGGGAGCTGGGTCATGAAGGGAGAGCGGATCTCAGAGCAGGCCCAGGAAATCCTACACCAGGAGGAGCAGGCTGTGCAGTGATGCGTTCATTCAACACACATTTAATGTGCACCTCCTCCTTGTGGGGTGTTGGAGATTCAAACTGGAACATCCTCCCTTCCTCGGCAGAGTATTTAATATGCAAATGTGCATTGTGAATATGCAAGAAAGCCAGAGGCTGGATGGCACACTCTGAACAGGAGTACCCCGGTCCATTCTATATCTGGGTTCTATGCTGAGTCCCCCACAGCTTCACCTCCTTGAAGCCACACACGATGACCATTTTACAGAGAGGGAAACTGAGGCACAGAGCTGGGCTTAGACTCTTCCAGAAGTGACTCATGCTCAGATGGTCAGATTGGCAAGCTTCTGACGTCAGCTCTAGGGATGTCTTTCAAGGGATGAGAGGCAATCAGTGGCTAGAGGGTGGGGGCCGGTGGCCCTCACCCAGAGTCTCATCTCTATCTCGTTAGACCTGTGACCTTTGGCAAATGTTCTTCTCTGAGTTCCTTTGTTTTTAAGATGGCAGTAAAATGCTTGTTGCCTCTAGGAGACTATGGTGATAATTAATGAGAAAATACAGGAAAATGACTTAGGATAGACCACAGCAGTAACTCTATAGAAGGCCTTCTGCCTGCAGGGCATTGTGACTCTTGCCTTCAATGCCAGCACTTGGGAGGCAGAGGCAGAGTCAGAGGCAGGTGGATCTCTGTGAGTTTGAGGCCAGCCTGGTCTACAAAACAAAAAACAAAAACCAAACCAAAACAAAACAAAAAAACACCATGGTCCAACTTCTGACCTGCGAAGCAAGGAAATGCACCCAGTAGAGCTGCTTTTGAGGACCACCGTTCTGTGCCTCCTTGACACCCCCAGCCCCCAACTGTGTGAGACCTTCAGTCTAAGAGTGAAGAGAGCTCTCACCCATGCAGGAGGGGGTGACAGGTGGCAGGGCTGTGAACTAGGAACAAGGAGACAAGGAAAGCGCAAGGCTGGGAGAGGGGTCTGATCTCTCCTGTTTCTTTTCTGCTTCAGGGAGTGCCAGGACACAACGGTTTGCCAGGGCAGCCTGGGCTCACCGCCGAGCTGGTGGGTATCAGCCAGAACACACTGGCCATCGTCATTCCTGTCTTTCTGGGGGCTGAACTGACCATGCAACCTGGGGCTGAACCCTTTAGCTCTGGTGGGGGATCCTCCCTCGCTCCCGATCTTAAGGCTGGATGCTCATCTAGGCTGAATAAGCCTCCCTCCCCGACCAGCTATAACCTGTCTCTTGCAGGGATCCTTACCCATTGAGCAGCGCCTCCTTGAGGTAAGAGGGCACCGGGAGGCACTGGCGCTGGCAGGTGTCGCCAAAGGGGATTCTCACAGCAGGTGTTCAGTTGCCTGCCGCCTAACAGATAGCAGCAGATTGAACCTACTGGTTCCCTGGGGAACCTTCCTGGGGGGAAGGGCATGCTGAGCATCTGCCTAAAAGGGTCTGGCTGGGCTCTGGCTTGTAACAACCCTCTAGGCAACATTTGCTGAATGCGTGCTTAAAGGAATGCTGGGAAGGTCCCCACCTGGTAGATGCCTGGTGACAGAACCCAGCCTGACATCAGCTCGCATTGGCTGGCAAAGAAGCGCCATCGCTTCTCTGGGTCATGCCAAGCCAGGGCCCAAAAGCTCCCAAAGTGCAGGGGGTGACAATGCAGTGGCAAGGGACCAGGTGAGATTGGAGACAGGCCTGGTGGAAGTCAGCTTGAAAAGACTTCAGTAGGAGGAGCAATTGTGGAGGGCGGTCGGCCTGCAGTTCTACAGAAGGGTTGTGGCCTGGTCTGACTGACCAAGCTCTCGGGGTGCTCTGGAAACCCAGGTCCCTATGCCCCCCTTCCCCTTGCTCAGTCACCTCCCGAAGTGACAGTCCAGCCAGGTCATTCCTGCAGGCTGACTTTGAGTTCCTGGACCTCTCTCAAGAGCTGGCATCCTCAGGGCTCCTCTCCCCATCCCTCCTCCTCCAGTCTCTCTCTCTCTCTTCGGCTCTGGCTAGTCAGTGCCATGGTGGACATTATGCCACCCCAGGGAGCTTCGGTCAGGGCACAGTATGAGAGCTGCTTGCACTGCTCCGTCTTTGAACCACAGATGTTTCCAGAAGCAGCTGGTGGAAGTGGTTAACCAGGCAGCAGCCATGAGTCAGATCACAGTGAGGTTGTGGCAGTGAGACCCGCAGCTCTCCTGGTCTTGGTGGAGCCTGCGTCCCCTCAATCTTGCCCTCCAGGCCGTGATGGTGTGACATCCTTCTGAGGTTTCATAAGGTGGCTTTGTAATCAAGTGTCCCACAAAAGGTTCCACCCAGGAACTGAATCAGCCTGTAATAGAGGTCAATTGGCAGCCAGGGGAGGCTGCTGGGAGGCCTGGCAGTCACCATGTCCACCGCTCAGAGGAAGCGCTGACTCCACACAGACAGGCAGTGACCAATCCAGGTTTACCTGGACAAATCACACCACCCCTCTTGAATAGTAGCTTCCTCCACCATGCTCAGAACGTAATCGACCTCACTGTGCCCTGGGGACCACATGAGATACGTGCCAAGGCCCATTACAGTCTGTGACCTCGCGGGTGCTGCAGAAATGACGGCCATTATCTTTGGGTGTCTCTGTGAATGGTGAAAGTGAGCATGAGGCTTCTGTCTGGGGTCCCGGCTACCACGCCTGGTGACAGGGAGACTCCCGGCTCCTAAGACTCCTGGAACGGGAGCCCGAGTTTCACTAGTTTGAATGGAGAGGACCACGCTTCCAGGAGTCACAGAGAGTCTGTGACCAAGAAGGTCAAAGCCTGAGTCAGAGGCTTTTTCGTTAGAACAGTTCAGACCCAGGGACCTGTGGAGCCAGTGACAGCTGGTGAGCTTCAGGCCCTGGCGCCCTGGGAGTGTCCACAAAGGACCTGCTCCTCTGGCATCCCCAGGCAGAGGTGCTGGCACTGGGAACCAGGCTTTTCATCCTGAATCCTTGGGGCTTGTCCTCGCCACGGGTGCAGGTTGCAGGAACAGCCGGGACAGATGGTCCCTCTGCGGGTCCCTCCGCCTCCTCCCACACAGCCTGTCTGGAAAGCACTCTGGCTTGGCCCTACCTGAGCCTCTTCCTGGAGGAAACTCAGAGCCAATTGCTAGGATTGGGTCCCCTGAGGACAGAGCAAAGCTGCTGCAGGGATGTGGCTGGAGAGGGAGGGTGGGAGGGTGGAGGACTGCTGGGCAGGGTGCCTGGGCCCTGGATTCTGAGAGGGATTCCCCAGTAGACTTTTCTGCGCATCTCTGACCCAGGTCCCTCTGTCCTTCCCCTTTTCCCCATCAGAGCATCTGTGGAAACTGTGCCCAAGGCCAGACGGCCCATCCGGCCTTCCTCCTGGAGAAGGGAGAAAAGGGAGACCAGGGCATCCCTGGCGTGCCAGGCTTTGACAACTGTGCCAGGGTAGGAACTGGGCAGAGGCGGGCTGGTACGGTAGGTTTCCCTGGTGTAGGAGGGCTCCCTGGTGCTGGTCCTGATGTCTCTATCTGGCAGAGACTGGGCCGGGGTAGCTGGCAGTCCTGGTATGGTGTCATGTGCCTACCAGAGGCCTCCTGACCAACCTTACCTAACAGAGCCTCTCTTGTCTACCATAGTGCTTTATGGGAAGGGAGCGCCCCAGAGCAGAGGAAGCCAGGGTGAGCAAATCCTTGCCTTCTCTTTGTCCATCCCTCTTGCCCTCTTCTCCTCCTTCCTTCCCTCCCTCCCTCCCTCCCTCCCTCCCTCATACTCACTTCTGCTGTTATCTCTGCCCCCCACCCCAGGGAGACAACAGTGAGGGAGAGCCCGGCTGTCCTGGGAACCCTGGCCTGCCTGGTCCTCCAGGGCTTCCAGGTCAAAGAGGAGAAGAGGTAAGACCAAGACCCAGGCCCTCATCCAGGTAGAGCCTCGAAGACATGGGGTCCACATCTGCCTTGACCACTTTCCTCCTCTGGGTTTCCCTTGGCCTGGAGCCCCTCACTTCCTGGCACCCCAGCAGGCTGGCTCCTAGCTGCTTCCTTTCCTGGTTCCCCTCTTCTCCAGGCCTGTTTTCCCCCTCAGCAATCAGGTCACATCGTTCCTTCTCAGTGAGGCCTTCCTGAATCACCCGTTCTAAAACGGAAGTTCCCCCCACAACCCCTCCTCAAGCTCCACCCCCCACCCCACCCCCACCCCTCCCTAAGCTCCCCACACACACCCTCCCCAAGCTATACACACACACACACACACACACACACACACACACACACACACTCCAAGCTCCTCCCATGCACCCTCCAAGCTCTTTTGCCTTCACTATACTCATACCATCCAACATTCTGGGCATCTACTTCCTTCTAGAACATTCCACAGGTATGGACTTGCACAGCAGCTGTGTGCCAGCTGTGTTGTTTGTTACTGTTCACCTTGCCTCTAGGACATAAGCACTTCATAGTGGAGATTTTAATGTTTTGTTTATGGCTATGTTCCCAGCCCCTGGGCCTGTGCCCGGCACATAATAGCTGCTCAATAAATGTCTGTTGGATGACTGAATGAACTGAATGAAAGGCCATTTTAGTATCAGCTAAATGGCTCTGCTCTGACATCAGACAGCCGTCTCAGGTCTGCAGCAGGGGCTGGAGGCAGGTACCATAACACGGGTTTCTGCTCAGTCTCAGGTTCTCCATCTTGTTCCTTGTTCTTCTGCAGGGACCACCTGGCATGAGAGGCTCCCCAGGTCCTCCAGGCCCTATTGTAAGTATCTCGGCATTCTGGTCTGTTTGAACAGATCTCAGAAAGTCCTAACCCACACACCATTCTGCTGCCTTGTCCCTAAGAAGCCAGGCGAGACACCAACTGCGCTTACCTTTCCCTTGGGAGAACATCTTTTGGCACAGTGGTCTCCGGCCAGGAATGCCCTGCTCTGCCCCACTGCCTGTGAACCCACTTAGGGAAGGCCCTCAGGGGCACGCGCCTGGGCCCCTCCTCTTCCCTGCTGGATTTAGTAGTACACTAGCGACCCAGGTCACCCCACAGACAGCAAGGTGTATGGTTGCCCAGCCAGATCTCACCATTCACCTTAACACGGTTCCTACAAGGACCCTCCATCATTCTGTGGAGCCATCGATAGGGAAGTCTACAAAGCCCAGGCCAGGGTTCTCCACCCAGAATCCTCAGGGATGTTGGCAAAGCAGGGAAGACGTGACCCGACAAATGGGAAGTGCTGGCAGTGTGTTCTTTGTCGAAAACAAAATGGCTGGTGGAGGTCTTGGAACTACTCTCCTGAGGGATGTTGGTGATCAGGAGAGGGGGGCAGGACTGAAAGGAACGGACTTTTTACTCCACTGAAGGCAGACTGGGAGCGCCCTGGCAAGGGTTTTCAGACTAGGGAGGCTGCTGGTATCTGCCAGTGAGGAGCCCATCGAGGGTCATGGTGGCCATTTTCTGAAAAGACCCCTTTCCAGCTCCCAACTGTGGACGATGCCTCCAGGCTCCCCCAGGGTGACTGTTCTTGTGAGATGTGACTACGTGCCTGTTTCTCCCACCAGGGCCCCCCAGGTTTTCCTGGTACTGTTGGCTCCCCCGGACTGCCTGTAAGAACCTAGCGCCACTCTGCCTCCCCTTCCTGCCAGCCAGGTCTCTGTGGCTTTGCTTGTCTCACCCTCCCGTGGTCCCCTCTCCTCTCCCCCTCCGTGTTCTGGTGTTCTGTTCATTGTTTGTCCCCTGCAGGCATGGTAGCTAACGACACAGGTTCCCTTAAGTCCCGAAGGCTTGGAGACCATCCCAGTCTTGACTTTCTTCTAGCAAGCACCCTCAGCCTCTCCTCCAGGGTTCCTCCTCCCATCTTCACACCTTCACCTCCCTCTTTCCTTTACCCTCCAAGCCCACAGTCACTCCCCTGTGTCCCTCAGGTCTCTTTTACCTTCATGCTGGAAGCTGGGCCCCTATGAAGGAGCCCCTGTATCTCTCCCGTCTCACTCTTGCCGCCTGCTTCCCACCACTGCCGTGGACTGAAGATTTGCTGAAAGTAGTTCTTGGGACCCTGCCAGGCACCTGGCTCTGTGCCCGGCAGAGATGCCAAGGCTTTAGGGCTTCACACTGCAGGCTGGCACAGGTTGGCTGCCCTGCTGCCTGGTAGGACTGTCCAGAGGCACCCTGGGGATTTACAGGCAGCCCTGCGTGCACCCTTCCCCGCGGCTAGAAGAAACCCATGGCCTCCTCTTCTTTCTCTTCCCTGGCTCTAGGCCCAGTCTGCTTCAAGGCTGGGCATGTGATACCAGCCAGTTGGGTCTCTGGTGTTAGGGCCCTGCCCCTCTGTGCCCAGGGTCTTGGGCTGATCCTTCTGCCAGGTGTCGTTAATTGCTCTGCTTGCCGGCGTTGTTGTCACAGGTGTGTTTAAATCACAACTCCCACCCCACCCTCAGTGTTGCTCTCTCCTGGGTCACGGAAGCTAAACCTCTTGTTTGTTGGATTCGTGTTCCCGGGGCTGGCGCCTGCCGTCCCAGGCCTGGTGGTGGAGGCTCATGGACGAGGAGGGCCTCTCCTTGTCATAGTCCCATCTGTCCCCGCGTCTTCATCCCTGGCCGGGCCATGTCTGTTTCTGCTTGCTTGGGTGAAGGGGCCATCTGTCTGTCTAGCCATCTGTCTTGTGTCATGGAAAGGTTTGGGTGCCATTTCTAGAGGGCACAAGGGATAAGGGGGCAGAAGAGATGTTTTTGATGGTGACCTGGAGCTGTGGAGATCGGGGTGAGGAATGGTGGGCTTTGTCACTGACATCCCTCTCCATGTTACTGAGTGGGATTGCTCTGGAGAGAGCCCTCTTGTGCCTGTCCCTGGCATCACTAAAGAAGGCGATTTGGGGCTCGGGTGGGAACTGGGACAGGTAAGTGCTGGGGACTTGGTGACACTTTGTGGGAGCATCTTCCCTGACAGCCTCCCCCCAGAAGGAGCACACATGTCCCAAGGTGCACCCCAGACAGCCTCCACAGTAGGGTAGGGCAGTGACAGTCACCTGGAAGGAGCCCTGTCAGGGCTCACTTGAAGGGGTGTCTCTGCTGCTGCCTGTCTGGAAGCTGCACTCCCGAAAGGCACCCACACATCTGGATTTACACATTCGCCCTTCCAGAACACACTCATGACAGTCACTTTACCAGGGACACTGGGCTGCCGCTCGTGACCTTTGTCCCGAGTGCAAAGAGACGGGCATGGGGCAGGAAGAGTCTGAGCTAGGTAGGATTATCCTCCTCTGCCGTTTCTCATGGTTTCTCTCTCTAAGGGCCTGCAAGGAGAGCGAGGCCTCACAGGCCTGACTGGAGACAAGGGAGAGCCGGTAAGGAGTCCTGCAGTGCTGGCAGAGGGGTGGCCACTGAGTGGGAGATGGGGAGAGGCTTTCCTTAATCATTCAGCCCTGATCCAGAAGGGCTGGGAGCTTCAAAGGAAAGGGCGTCACACCCCTCAGATGGACGGAACTGGGTGTCCATGTGGTCCCTACACCCTGGGAGCTGTGTGTGTTCTGGCTCTTAGCTACCATTTCGGGGGTGGGGGTTCCTCTCCTTCCCTCATCCTCCACACTTGTGTGCCTGCCTGCTCCTCCCCACCTCATTCTGGACCTCCTTTCCCGCTCTGCTCCCAGGGTTCTGGGGCTGGTCACCTGGGCTTGGGAAATGGCCCACAATAGTAACTGTACCTGGGGCGTGGGTAGTTTGGGTGGTGGATGGGCACCTGCTGGATAGCAGATCCAGGTTTTTAGGCTTGGGTCACTCGCACACAGGGAAAGGGTAACAGAAAGGTTGAGGGCTAGTCCATCATCATACCTGCCTTGCTTTGCAGGGTCCTCCAGGACAACCTGGCTACCCAGGTGCCATGGGACCCCCAGGATTGCCTGTGAGTAAGAGGACTCTGACTCTGGGGGTACTGGGGGTACAGTCCAACGGTGAGAACAGAGCCAGACAGGGTGTCCCTCAATCGTGTTTCCCTTTCCCCAACATTCAGTCTCTGCCATGACATCCATGTAGGATCCACACACACACATTCTGCTTTGGTTCCCTTGGTAATGTGGCTTGCCCCCACCATTGCAATGGGGGAAAGGAAGAGGACACTCTCAGAACCCCCATGAGTCCCAGACTCAGAAAGAACTGAGATGTGCTGCCCAAAGGGTTTTGAGAGAGTGAGGGAGACACCTGAGAGATGCCGCTCCTTGCAAAGGCACCCTCGGGCCTTTCCAGTGTGGGCCGCAGTGGCGGCTGTGTGGCCACACTGGCTACTGTTTCCCCCCTCTAGTCCCCTACTTTGGTCCCCTTGGCCTTCAAGTGTCAGTCTGGGCGCCAGCTGCAACCCTGGCCTCTTGCACTAGCACCCCATAGGCAGGCCACAGAGCTAATTCTGCTGTCGCTTGTCAGGGCATCAAGGGAGAGCGAGGATACACCGGCCCTGCAGGAGAGAAGGGCGAGTCGGTAAGCTGCAGCACGGGTATGGATGGAGGGCAGGAGAGAGCCCCCTCCCCACATCCTCTTCTTCAACAGGGTTGGGACTTCCTGTGACCCCTGCTGCCCCTGCCCCAGCGTTGCTCCAGCTGCGTCTCTGCACCAGCTGGTGGCTGCGGAGGCGGAGGCTGTGAGGAGATCCCAGCAGGCTTCTTGCAGAGATGGCACTGAGGAGGGGAAGGGCCCAGTCAGCTGGCAGAATTCCCCCTCCTGCCAGATCAGGGCCAGGAGCCTTTTTCTCTATTGAGGCCACCTTCATGGGGGTCCTACAGCGAACGAAGGAGCTAGGACAGCTAGGACATGAGGTCACAGGCTCCTGGGGGACACGACTCACCCAGTGTCCTGCAGCCAGCTAGGGAGTTAGTGGTGAGGAGCCTGGCCAGAAGCCCAAGTCTATCTGGTGAGGAACCCCAACCCTCATATCTGGGACCCGCCAAGCTGGGATGGGAGCCTTACCTCTCCCCCTCATGAATGTCAGCGAGACCTCATGGGACTCTGCCAACAACTGTCATACTTTTAATCTGCAACAAGATTGTCTCCTAGGCATGCTGGGTATTCCGAGCCCTTCTGAGGGTTCTGCACTGAGCGGAGCAGGCCCTGCGTGCCTTGCCCTGCAGCAGGAAGCAGATAAAACATGAGTAGATAGAAATAGCTATGATGAGAGCTGAGACCCCTGAGCGTGCAGGGTGGGGGTGGGGCGTGGGGCTGGGGTAATGTGAGGATGCTGTGTAGACGAGAGAGAGAGAGAGAGAGAGAGAGAGAGAGAGAGAGAGAGAGAGAG